TGCAGCATCGATGGCAAGAAGGTTCACAAAGCTCTTGCCGTTCTGCGTCTTCCTGAAACATGTCAATCGGTCAGTTTTCCGCCCCTGCAGCGTCGGGCGGCCCCAGTCGACTTCACGTCGGCCCCGACAAGTGCCCGTTCTAGTTGAAGATGGAGACCACGGGCAAGGAGAGCACCAACATGTCGCATGAGCACTTCTCCGATAACAGGTTCTATTTCGACCGTCAAAACAGGTGGACTCTAGAACGCTGGGGGCCCACTCTGCGGCTGGAGCCCCAGTCTGGCCGCGACCCCACCAAGCGCTCCTAGGATGATGCCGCTGCGGCGCAACGCGGATGGTCTAGAGAACAGTCTCATCGCACCTTCAAGCAGGTCGTCGAGCCGACGCCAGCGCCCGAGAGGTTGCACTTTCGACTGCAGATCCAACCGCTGAGGGGAAGGCGGCTTTCCGTCCCTGCCAGCTCCCATGTCCGCCTGCATTTGGAATGCAGGCGCTCGCCTTCGGCGGCGTGGTCAGATGGCACTGCGGAAAGCCGCTCGCCCCCGCAAGTGGGGCAGCACGAACGGCATCTTCGCGATCCAAGATGCGCATCAATTCATCGACGAGCTCAAGACCTCCATGAAAAGGGTGGCCCACGATACTTGTGAGTAAAGTTCCTTGCAGAGACCGGGGAAGGACAGAATCGCGGCGGTGTTGTTACGTCTGCTCTTCTGTCCTCTCCGGCCACGGATTCATCTTCTGCGCGCACTGATGTCGGGAACAGCGTTGCAGACGGCATTGCGGAGTGCCCAGGCTGAAGTTCAACGTTTCCACGTCCATCATTGCGACCCGCTGCCCGCGCGGATCAACAAAGTGCGCAGTGATATACAAGAGGGCCCACGATGGGCACAACGCGATCACCGGCCAGATTGGCGGTTGCGCGCCGCGGCTTCAAATGCACTGATCCCGAACGGCTCTGCTTGGCCAAACCCAGGCAGGCCTGCCCCGCCAAGTAAGCGCACACTACGGTGACGCAGTCAAAGAGGCGGCAATCCACTTCCAGTCGAATGCTCCAGATCGCCCCCGAGGTTCCCGCGCACTACTGCAACGACACCAAATAATTAACCCGTCTGGATCGCACATCGCTATCTGAGCCAAGTATGACGTCATTCCAGCTGTCCCATCTCATTGCGGGCATCGACGGCGCAGAGCAGCTCTCTGAGAAAATGGCTGAACATGCGGCTGCCCGCGCGTTTCTTCAGCGCCGTGCGCTCGACGAAGCCGCCTCGGGCCCACCCCCAGGTTCATCTCCCAGAGATATGAGTTCAACGTCAAATCTGACGCAAACATTACTGCCGATGCGATATCATGAGTCCCTCGTCGCCTTCTAGATTGCTGGAAAGACGCCAGATATCTGTGTACGCGGACTCCTTCGACAGGTCGAACATGGTCTTGCGTGGCGAACCTGTTCCAATTGAAGCCCCACGCGTTTCTGCGCGTCTGGCTGCTGGGGCCATCTGGAGACAGGATGCGTTGCGCGCTATCAAAATCCGCAGCTCGCCCAGCGTTTCTCAGGAATGCACGGGCGTTGTCGGCGGCGACGCGGCGCTCGTTGATCCCCTTGCACCCTGGGCGCGACCGCGGACCGCTCATCGCGCGGCAGCCGCCGCGGACATCGAGAAGATCCCGCTTGCCAAGTATTCCGGCAGAGGGCGCGATTGCCCCTCGTCGCGAATGGTCATGGCGACGCACAGACGGGTCAGACTCATTCTTCGTGCTCTCAAGGTCGGCGATGGTGTCTATTTCTCGGCAGCAGAGAAGTTGGGGGCTCTCGCCGCAGGACACGCGGCGCCCGTCTGCTAGTCGCCGGCCCCGTTCGCGCGCGTCACAGCTTCCGAACTCGGCGCGTGCATCCAGCCGTCCTGCTTCAACGCCAGCCATCTTGCAGGCGCGCCTAACAGTGGTGAGACTGTTCAATGAAAGCAGAGGATCTCTGGCTTCTTCCGGGAAGTTCCAAGACGAACATGGACGGCCTTGTCGTCGGCCGAGCGCGGCTGGCCCCCCCCCCCGCCAAGCGAGCCCCCCCCGAACGCGGCGCCGCCGAGCCCCCCTTCATCTTGAAGGGCAAGCTGAGCTGCGGCTCTTCGGTTCCCCATGACAGATGGGGGGCTTGGAAAGATCGCGGCGACTGGATCGACTGGTGCGTTCAAGATACGGCGATGCTCTTCGACTCGCCGCATCTGATCGATCCTTGCACCAGGGCCACCCGCGCGCCTCTCAGGACTCGGGATTAGATTTGGACCCGTGCTCGGGTCGCGCGCGGATCGCCTGCGAGGGCAACGAATAGAGTTGACTGCGCGCCTTCGCCTTGGTCCGCGGCAAAACAGCAGCTGATCACCACCTCCAGCAATTCTTGCCCGGGCGCAACCACGCGCAGTTCAGAAGCCCCCCAAATCCATCAGGGGGCCCTGCGCCTGCGTATTTGAGAATCGCACGCCCCGGGTTTCCGACGCCCGCCCAAGCGGCACCCAGAGACGGCTCTAACCCACCGCCCGAATCTTGCCCCCCCATGCGGCGCTGACGGCGACTTTGAGACAGGCGCAAGCTACGGCAGCATCTCGACGATGACCAGCATGGCATGGCAAGGGCGAGCCTGCATCGACATCGGCACGCCATTGACTGAAGCTCGAGGCACAAGCGAGGACGACCCCGTCCATAGAGCAGAAAGGATTGAGCGCGAACTCACAGACGGCGCCACGGCATGGTCGACACCACGCCGCCCCCATCCCCCCCCCCCACATCTACTACGCGATCCAGGTCGACAGCGTTTATATTTGGTTGGACTGGTGCGTCGGCTACGTGTTCGGGGTGCGTCATGACTAGCAGTTCTCTCCTCTGGTGGGAGAGGTCACGGGGGGGGGGGACAGGCGCAGGCGAGCAGCAGAGGGGACTTGCCTGGCCGCGCGGCACGCTGCGGCAATCGCAAGAGATCAATTGCGACGCCATTTTGCGGCGGAACTACCTGAAATGGATCAAACTATCATCCGTCGCGCATGACAGAACACATTTGGGCACGTAGCAATGCTTCAATGGGCGCCAGATCCCTCGAAGAGGCCATTCGACCTCCGCACTTGGTTTCTACGACAGGTTGGCAGTGGTCTCGCTCTTCCTCGACCTGCTGACACGATCCCCAAGCTTCGCGCGGCGCTGGAAGAATCCCCGCGCGACGTGGAACGATTGGACGTCGACCCGAGCGACTTCCGCTGCATCCCGTCGTCGCGCGACTCGCCGACGCGCTCTCCGCCCTCCGTGCCCCTGTGGCGTCTTCGCGACTTGGCCGCGCCATGGGTATTGTCTCCTACTGCGGCCGACAGTGAGGCCATGGCGTAACTCATGGTCGGCGGCGTTGACGGACCCCCTTTTTCACCTGCCCAGTTCGAGAATGATGCTACGCTCGATGACAAGTTCGAGCCGACAGATTCCCCTGGGCAGTGCTCTTGGGCGCTTTTTGAAGGAAACTAACAGCTCCCTCCTCTCTCCTCCTCCTTCCTCTCCTCCTTCTCCTCCTCCTCCTCCTCCTCCTCCTCCTCCTCCTCCTCCTCCTCCTCCTCCTCCTCCTCCTCTTCCCCCCTCCCCCTTGTCAGCGGTAGTAGCGCCAGCATCAGGGGAATCGTTTGCCAAGTTCGGCGACCCGTTTCTCTGCCCTGAGAGCGGGGGCACGCACAGCGCGATTGCGAAGGCTTCGCCAAGGCCAGCAGGCAGCCCCAACGAAGCTGCACCTCCTCACCATGGTGGCACGCCTACTGCCGGCGGTGGTACGGATACCGGCATGATCGGCACAGGTGATACTAGGCCGTCGAGTTTGGTCGATGGGGCCACCGACGCGGCCTTCCCTGACTTTGCCCCTGCTGATGGTGTTCCTTTTTTCTTGCTATTATGTGGTTTCTCCTTTTGGTCGCTGGCGAAGATGGCCTTATCGAGTCTTCCACCCAACTTCTACCTCTTCTACCTGATGCGCCAGCTCCTGCTGCACAACCAGATGTGCATCTTGGGCGACAGAATCACATTGGAGAGAGAGGGAGGGAAAGAGAGAGAGAGAGAGACCGACGAGCTGGTGCACAACGGTTCGGCCAACGTCGACGGGTACGACGCCGTGGTATTAGCTGTACTGGATTATGCTCCCGGGCTGCACTTGGGCGGTAGCACGGCGGGCGAGGCGCCCCCACCCATGTCCTTGAAGCGAGCCCGCCTCATTTTCGGGCAATTGCTACAAAGTGAAGAGAAACTTCTGGCGAGATGGACGGCGGGACTGTGGACGCTTTTGCTTCCCAGGTTTCCGGCACAGGCCTGGCCTCCTGCTCAGGAAGACGCCGTCAACATCCTGATGATGTCGGAACATGCTGACCCCAACGATGACCATTCGCTGGCGAACATGATGGACGTGCACTCGAAAACCATGGAGTTAGTTGGAACTGCAGGTGAGACCACGCCTCTGGCAGCTATGAAGAGCAGGCATGGAAGCCTCGCAGTAAGCTGAAGCTGCACCAAGAATGTGTGTCGGCTATTCTTGGTTCAATCGAGGACGACCCCTTGATTGCTGAGCCAGCTGGTGCTTCCACTTCTGCTGTGCACGGCGCTATCCTACCTCCTGACGCGCAGGTGGATGAAGCCGATCAGATGCAGGATGATGTGGTTTCCATGTATGCAGTTGGTTCTCCTGACGACATCGTCGTCGTTGTCACCGACGTCCCGGGCGACGGCTGTAACGTTGACTACGGCGATTCCACATAATGCCTGGCATCTCCTAAGGCACGGGTGTGAGTTCAGGCCCCGCAAGTACCGCGGGCGGCTCTGACGGCGCCACCTAGGCGCGCGGATCGGTCCTGGGAGGCGTGGACTTCTCCTCCTCCTCCTCCTCTTCCCTTCCTCCTCCTCCTCCTCCTCCTCCTCCTCCTCCTCCTCATCCTCCTCCTCGTCCTCGTCGTTGTCCTCGTCGTCCTCCTCCTCCCGATTCCCGAGAGGCACTGCTGTGGAATACGAAAGCGCCTCCGCAGGCCGCTGGATCGGGGCAAAGGTCCAGGGTCGCAAAGAGGAGGGGGAGGACGAGGTGGAGGAGGAGGGGCAGGAGGATCAGTGCAAACCCAAGACGCATCAACGATATACGAGCGTTCCCTCCAAGTTCCCTCTTCTGCGCCTGCAAGAATATATTTTCAGTTCGGGAAGTGCCCCAAGGAAAGGCAAACAGTTGAAAATCCAGGAACGGGCCACAGCACAGTTCCTGGGACTTCATCGCCGCGACCCAACGCGCCTTGTGCATCCTGACTAGGTCGTGCCAGGACACCATGCCTGGGACTTAGGAGGAGGACGCGGAGGAGGAAGGAGGAGGAAGGGAGAGGAGTGAGGGGGCAGGAGGCGAGGAGGGAGGCGGCGGTGGTGGAGGGAGGCGGGGCGAAGGTCCTCTTCCGCCGCCCGTCGGGGCTCTACGACCTGGACGTGAAGCCCATGGTCGCGCCTTGCAGCATCCGCCGGCCGCGGGCGAAGCCCTCGCGCCACAGGCGCAGGTCCAAGGGGAAGAGGGGAGGGGGGAGGAGAAGGGGGAGGGAGGAGGAGGAGAGGAGGAGGAGGAGGAAGGAGGAGGAGGAGGAGGAGGAGGAGGAGGAGAGGAGGGAGGAGGAGGAGGAGGAGGAGGAGAGGAAGGAGGAGGAGGAGGAGGAGGAGGAGGAGGAGGGAGGAGGAGGATGAGGGGAGAGGAGGAGGAGGGAGAGGAGGGGGAGGAGAGGAGGAAGGAGGAGGAGGGAGGAGGAGGAGAGGAGGAGAAGCACAAGGAGGAGGAGGAGGATGGAGGAGGGAGGACCAGAGCAAACCCAGGATGCATCAGCGATGCTGAAGTACACCCGTCGCGAAGTCCCTCCGCTGACGCCCTGCGAACAGTCCTTCTCACTACAACAGGCGCCCCCCCTCCCTTAAGAGACCGGAGCACTTGGGCCTGCCTTTTCGGCGAGGGCCCCGTTATCTGACCAGGATGTGCACTTTGCGCCCTTTCTGCGGCGTCGCGTAAAACTGTGATCAAGCCGTTTCACGAAGTGTCCAGCGATAACATTTTTTCGAAGAAGGACCGCCCGCGACACACACACACATACACACACACACGTACGCATACACACGCACACACGCGCACGCACACACACACACACACAATTTGTGTAACTATTGGACAGCTGTCGCCCGTGGCCACGGAATTCGAGGAAGTCTTCAGCAAGAGTTCCGTCTTGACGAAGAGCTGCCCTGGACCCGTTCAAAGCTACACGTGCTGGAGCGAGAACTACAAGTTGAGAAAAAAAAAGTCCTTTACCATCTGACATGTAGCATGCAAGCGAAGGAGCGTGTCGCTGAGGTGAGAGTCCCAGCTTGTTCGTAAAGGTTGCAAGCTTTTGAAACGAAGTTGCGCGGCGCTTTGACAAGAGCAACATGTTGAAAGTTTGCAACTGCTAACTGTTAGAACGAATGCGTGCGGCGCAAAGGCGAGAGTCCCATTGTGAGAACGACCCTTTCTCCATCGTTGCGGAAATTGTGCCACCGTGTCAACATGAATGTGCGCGGCGCTCAGACGAGAGCCGCCTGCCTGAAAACCGAAAGGCGTGTATATATAACACACACCAAAACCAAGGAAGAAACAAACAACAAAAGAAACAGAACATGTGGGTCGCGCCCCACCCACCCACCCCTTCCATCCCTGAAGCTGTTGCAAACGTTGAAGGCGAACGCGCGCAGTGCTGAGGCGAGAGCCACACTTTGAAAATGGCCCCATCCACCCTATCATCCTTTAAGCGGGTGCAAACTTGTAAGACGAATAAGCGCGCCGCTCAGGCGAGAGCCACATATTGAAAAAGGCACACCCTCCATTGTTCAAGCCGCCGCAACTGGTTAAGACGCTGCAGCGAGGTGAGGTGCACACTTGGAAAACGACCCTCCTCCATCCATCAAGCTGCTGCAAACGTTTAAAGCGAATGCGCGTGGTGCCCAGGCGAGATGATCACTTCGGCAGGGAACAAACAAACAAAAAATAAAATTAAAAAACAAACAAAAAAAACGTCCCTTCTCGTCCGTCTTTGAAACGACCGCAAACTCGTAACAAACTTGTGCGCGACAGCGAGATGCACATGTTGAAAACCATTCCCGTCCGTCCCCCTAGGCTGTTGCAAACTTTGAAGACGAATGTGCACGGCGCTCGGGTGAGTGCAACATTTTGGAAACGTACCCCCTCCATCCCTGAACGAAGTGCAAACTTTCAAAACGAACGCGCGCGGCGCCAAGGCGAAGCCCCATGTTCAAAACGGTCAGTGTTCAACCCGTGCGACCGTTGCAAACGTCAAGGCGAAACGCCCGACACATTTGGGGGTGCTTCAGGGAAGAGTTGTTCCCTAAACGGTGCTTGCACTTAGGGGTTCTTGCTTTTGGAAATGGAACTGGGCCCGTCTGTCGGCCTGGCGGCTGTGTAGCCGCCGTCGCCGCCCCGTCGCCGCCTCGTCGCCGCCCGTCGCCTGGGCCTGTCGGTCGGTCTGGCGGCCACGTGGCCGCCCGTGGCTGTCGTTTGCTTGCAGCATGTAGACAAAACAGATTCCACCACGTAGATTGCACAAGATAGATTGCCACGCGTAGATTGCGCAACGCAGTTTGCAAAACCACTTAGGAGGCGCCACAAAGAGCGCGCAAGATAGATTGTGTGACACCGGTTGCACAGCATAGGTTGCACAACGTAGATTGTACAGCATATGCTGCACAACATTAGCTAGCGTGGCCCTAGAGCAGGGTGTTGCTAGCATTGCATGGTTGGCAATATTGGATGTGCAGACGACGTGCTGCAATCTGCGTGGTGCAATCGATGTTGTGCAATATCGTGTGTGCAAATGTGTTCTGCAATATATCGTGTGCTGTATGTTCTGCGCGACCTACGCTGTGTAATATATAGTGTGAAACCTGGTGTGTGCGTGCAACGTATGTCGTGCAATATAGACTGTGCATCATACGAGGCGATATACATCCGGGCCAACTTACGTGGTACAATCTACGTGCTGGAGTATGCGCGGTGCAATAATTATATATATATGTGTGGGGGGGAGGGTATTGTTCTATATGTGTGGTGCAATGGATGGTGTACAGTAGATGGTTTGCAGTTTATGCGGTACGTTCTATGCGGTGCCATCGACGTGGTGCAACATACGTGAAGCAATAGTTATCATGCAATTTACGTGGTGCAGTCCATGCAGCGCAGTCTTTGTGGCACAACCTACGTGGTACAATGTCGATTTTGTATATATATATATATGTGTGTATACGTATGTATGTTGCAATTCATGTTGTGCGATAGATGCGATGCATCTTGAGTTGTGCAATATTTGTGGCGCAATCCATATGACGCAGTCGAAGTGGTGCAACCTATGTGGTCCAGATTGTAGTGTGCAATCGGTGTAGTGCGAATTTTGACAACATTGGGGTTGTCAACTCCATAGCTCGCGCAATCATCCCACCCGCCCATCCGCAATGTGGCTTGCAAAGCCCATGCGGCGGCGATTGCGATGAACGCTTGGTGTTGGCAGGCGCATCTCTGCGGCCGCGCTAACCCTCGCACGCTCGCGCGCACAGCGGCCACCTAATTTGGCGCGGCCGTCGCGGCCGCGACGGCGCTGACCGCTGGGTGCTTCCCAGTGGGCCCTTCAGTGCGAATCGGTAACGTGGGCGGGCGCGGTATCATGGCGACGTCGACAACGGTAGGAAACGATGATGAGTCTAGCGATGATGGTGACGATGATTAGGAGGACGACGGCAAGGCCAACGACGGCACCGATGCCGATCACGCCGGTGACGATACCGGTGCCCTCGCGTCGGTGACGAGGTTTCCGGAATGAGTTCGACAAGTGCGCGCGGCCGACGCGCGCGAGTGGCCCGCATTTTGTTATTGGACCGGGATCGAGCCCCCCCCCAACACGCGCGCGAGGGCGTTCAAATGATTCCGACCTGCTGCGCGAGAGGTCCGCTTGATCGAGTTTGATGAAACTGTTGAAACATGTGACGGTTTTCTTGAGAATTCGCAAGAGCGCGCCCCCAGTCTTTTTCGTTGGGGGGGAATTGGTGTTGCAAAGCCTTGTGTTTCGATTTTCAGGCGCGTACAGAACCGAAAGTTTTTGAAAGCCTTCCTGCATGCGCGCGCGACGACGCGCGCGCGTGCACTTCGCCCCGTCGTTTTGCAATGGATTCTTGCGAAAGCACGCGTACAAGGGCGTTCGGATGATTTCGACATGCGCTCGAGAGGCACGTTTGGTAGCACAGAGGAAAGACGTTGAACGAAGCATGGTTTTCTTAAGAAACCGCATGAGCACGAGCGCACACTTTTATATGGGGTCCGGACATGCGGTTTTGAAGTTCTCACGGAACTGGCCGTTGTTGAGGGATCTCGGCGTGCTCGCAAGACGACGCGCGCGCGTGCATGTATATTTGTTGTTAAACGAGTGCACGCGCATAGTATTCGTTGCCAGGGATGACGGGGGAAAGGAGTCGATGAGCGTCCGCCTGGGACGGTCCGAATTCAGATTTATGGTGGGCGAGTGTGCAGAACCACATACGGGGGAAAAAACAAAAAAACAAACAAAACGCAAAAGGGGAGTTGTTAAGTCCAGGAGGCTAAAGGGAATAAGATCCGAATATTTTTACAAAGGAGAATATGTGTGGTGCAATCTCTCTTGGGCAATCTAGGCAGGTTGCACCACGTAGCTTACACAAAATAGGTTGCACCACATTTATTGCATAACAGAGATTGCACCACATAGGTTGCTCCACTTGTGCTGCACAGCATATGATGCCCAACCTCGGTTGCACAACATAGATGGCACCATATACATAACACCACGTATATTGCATCGCATACGTTGTACAACCTAGGTTGCTCCACATTGCTCTGCTTAGGTTTCGCCACATAGGTCGCACAACTTGTTAGAAAACACTCTGCTTGGGGTCTTCGCTGGCCAACATTGTAACATGTCTCAGGATAATGGATGGAGGAGGGAGGAGGAGCAGGAGCGGGCATGAAGAGGGAGGAGGGCGGACGTAGGTGAAAGGGGGGGAGGAGGAGACGGAGGAGGAGAAGGAGTAATTATCATTGATTGGGTTCGGGTAGCAGCGCAAAGCGTGCAAAAGGATGAGGAGGGAGGACATGGAGAAGGAGAAGGAGGAGGTGTGCGGGAGGGAGGTTCGGATCTTGCGACCATGCCGGTTACGATAATTGACACTCAGAATGTTTGAGGAGGCCGGGAAGCCGACTTCCCCGACGACCTACATTTTGCGTGTTCGGCGTTGTTGTGAGCCATCGGCCAGCACCCATCCAAGATACCAATCATCTAATATCTCCGATCGCCAGCAGAGAAACGCTCACAAAATTGCGCTAAGTTAGCGAGCTGCTCAGCTGCATGATATGCACATGAGGGCTCAAAACCATAACCCCAGCCCAGCGTGATATGTGAGTGAATGGTTTTGATTCGCCCACCTACCTGCAATATGCACCTGCCGCCCAGGGTGGATATCCCATAAAAAAATCATTGGGGCTAAAGGGGAGCGTTCCGAGTTCAGCCATGCAGTCCTGTGAACATGTGAGGTCGACCCTTAAAAGCGACTGCAAGTGCCACTGTTTTTCTCCATCGCATGTTGAGGGATTGGTTGCCGCAGACGGGGCCGTCATTCTCTTCTTTCGCTTGCCAAGTCTTGAGCGTGGTGGAAGCAGCTTTACCCTGACAAGGCAGGGCATCCATTCCGTTGTGAAGACTATGGCTCTGGTGGTGGCACTGACTCGGGCCACCCAAACTCCCGCGTTGGCCAGAGGGTGTCAACGATTGCGCTGCCTAGGATAAGCATTTGCGGGAACCTTCCATGAAGAACGTCAGTGGCTTCCCGGCATGAGCGCACGTACAAGTGAAACCGCCTCCTCTTTTGTCGATCATTCGTCCGATTAACCAAGGATCTGCGTTTTCGAGACTGGCGCCTGCATGAATGACAGCCTGAACACGCTACAGAGATACCGGCCACGAAAGCCATGCACCCATAGACCCTACGAAGCACCATTTACGTGGCGTACAACTGGGCGCGGGTCGACAGCGACCCCAGGGTTTGGACTTGATGCTCATCGGATCGTCCAGCGAGCACAAGACGGCACCCCCCGATGCCCGCACAGCGAAGTTCAACCTCGCGATTGTCCTCGCTTCCGCCAGCAGTTCCGAAGATGAGGGAGGGAGGGAGGGAGCGCGGAGGAGGAGGCGGAGGAGGAGGAGGGAAAGGAAGACGAGGAAACAGGATGCACGTGAACGGCAAGCGAGTGCCTGCGAGCCAGTGCTCGCGACGACACACACGGCCGCGCACGAAGGACATGAGTAAGATGAGGATTTGGAGGAAGAGGAGGAGGAGGAGGAGGAGGAGGAGGACCAGTGTAAACCCAGGACTGATCAACGGTGTTACAATAAAGCCTCTCTCCAAGCTCCCTCCTCACCAGCTTCTACAAGGATTTGTGTTCACTGAGGTAAGTGCCCAGTTGGAAGACAACCGTGCAAAAAATCCCAACCCGTACCAAAACACCATTCCTGTTACTTCAACGCCGCGGGTCAACGTCATTGTTGCGTCTTGATGGTCTTGGATCGCGCCAGAACGCCATTCCCAGGACTTTAGTATCGCGCACCAGCAGCGTGATTGTTACGCCCTGGCAGTCCTACACCGTGCCATAGCATGATTTGTGGTACGTCGACCATACGAGCTCTTGGACCCGCTAGACGAATGTGCGCTGCGGAGGCGAGAGCCGCAGTTTGAAAAAGAACGGCCATCCATCCATGATGCGCTTGCAACCCTTCGAGACGGATGTGCGCGGCGCCCACGCGATAGCCACATCTTGACAACGGCCCGCCCTCCATCCATGAAACTCCTGCAAACGTTTAAGACGAATGCGCGCGGCGCTGAGGTCATCGCCACAGCTTGAAAGGGAATCGCCATCCATCCATGAAGCTGCCGCAAACGGTTAAGACGAATGTGCGCGGCGCTCAAGCGAGAGCCCCATTTTGAAAACGGCCCGCCCTCCAGCCATTGAACTCGGGCAAACTGTTAAGACGAGTTCGCGCGACGCTGAGGCGAGAACCGCATTTTGAAAGCGACCCGCCCGCCATCCGTGAAATTGTTGCGAATTCTAATTTGAGGGATTATGAATGGTGAGGGGGTCTCAGAGGAAACGCCCGGGCAGCTCAACCGACACGCTTCGGGATGCGACACGGACGAGTTACTCGTAAGGAAAAGGGGATGGAGGAGGAGGAGGAGGAGGAGGAGGAGGAAGAAGATGAGGAGAAGGAGGACAAGGACAAGGGGAAGGGGGAGGGGGAGGGCAGAGGGGAGAAGGTGGTGGAGGAGAGGGAGGTGAGGAGGAGGAGAGGAGGAAGGTGGAGGTGGGAGGAGGAGGAGGAGGAGGAGGAGAGGAGAAGGAGGAGGAGGGGATAGGAGGAGGAAGGAAGAGGTCCAGAAGGAGAAGTAGGAGGAGCAGCGACAGCCGCGGCGGCGGCGCGCAGGTCGAAGGGCGAGGAGTGGGGCCTCTCGTCGCCGAACCCGAAGCCCGCAGAGGGGCGCCAGCGCAGGGGCCGGCGGGGCAGCACGGAGGGGCGGTCTGGCGCGGAGGAGCTGCGCACGCCGCGCACGCCCGCCCGCGCATGGGCGGAGAAGGCGCGGGGGGGCGACAACTGGGGGAGGGGGAGGAGGAGGAGGAGGAGGAGGAGGAGGAGGAGGAGGAGGAGGAGGAGGAGGAGGAGGAGGAGGAGGAGAAAAAGAGGAGGAGGAGAGGAGGAGGAGGAGGAGGAGAGGAGGATTAGAGGACGGGGCTGGAACGAGCGAGGGCTGCAGAAGAGGGGCAGTAAAGGGCTGCAGAGCAAGGGGGGGGGCCCTCCCTTCTGGGCCCCTGGCGAGGGGCCCCTTCCGGGCGCCCAAAAGGGGGCTTATGTGGACCGACAAGTGCACCGTTCCCTTGCCCCCCCACCCTGGGCACGGTCGGACAAGGCTCGGGGCGGGGGGCTCGGACGGGGCTGACTGCACGTTTCGCCTCCCATCTGACGAGGTCGATACCCTTACTGCTCACCAGACCACCCCAGCCCGAGCCCGGAGGTCCCAGGCTCCCCCCACCGAAGAATTCTGGGGGTGGGGGGTGTACGGGTTCCACCTTATGTTTGCTCTGTGTTCCGGAGCGCCCCCCCGCTGGACATCGGCAGGCCCAATGGCGACTTCTGGTTTGGTTGGGGTGGCTTTCGGACGCGGCTAGGGCGAGGATGAGTCCGCGTCCTGGAACGCTCTGAGAAGGACGCGGCGCCCGATGGATCGTCCAGAGCCGCCAGATGTCCGAGATTCTCGATTTATCCTCACCCGAATGTATCCTCGCCCTGGCTTCGTCTTACGGGGGGCAGACACGTCGGGTGCGCTGGCGCAGACCACCCAAGCGATGTCGAAGCAGGCGGGGTCGGAGGATCGCGCCGCACGGCCGATACTTCGGCGATGCGGCTCGATGTGGAGCCCGATAATCTCTACGCCGACGTCGTCGATACATCGCCGACGTCGCGGATGCATCGCCGACGCATCGGCGATGCGGCGCGATCCACCAACCCAAATCTACTTCGGTCCCATTCGGTTGACCTCCAGCTGAGAATCGACCTTTTCCTCCTCCTCCTCCTCCTCCTCCTCCTCCTCCTCCTCCTCCTCCTCCTCCTTCTCCTTCTCCTCCTCCTCCTCCTCATGAAGAAGAAGAAGAAGAAATTGCAGAAACATAAACGTTCGAAGGGTTGTGAGGGCTTAAATCGCTTCTCATTCCGCCGGCCCATATTGCCTTGCCGCTTGGGCCGTGTTGGGGCCTCCTGGGGGCCTCTGGGAGGCAGTTTTGAAGCCTCTTGGGGGCCGCGTTGAGGCCCCTTGGGACCTCTTGGGGGCCTCTTGGGGCTTCTTGGGGTGCCTCTCTGGGGCCCCTTGGGGCCTCTTGGGGGCCTCTTGGGGCCTCCTGGGGGCCTCTTGGGGCTGAAGGCTGAACTTTTCGGTTCCTGGTCCCAGTCTTGGGCTCCTCTTGGGGCCGTTTTGGGGCCCTCTTGGGCCATCTTGGGCGCTTGTTGAGTTGTCTTGGGGCCATATTGGGCCGTCTTGAGGCCCTCTTGGAGGCTTCTTGGGCCGTCTTGGAGCGTTGGAAAGCCGAAAAGGCGAGAAACGTCGCTTGGGGCCCCCTTGGAGGGCCTCTTGAGGCTCTCTTGGGGCTTTTTCGCGGACTCTGGGGCCATCTGGAGCCCATCTTGAGCGTCTTGGAACGATCTTTCGGCGACTCGGGGCCTCTTAGGCCGTGTAGGGGGCGTCCCAGCGCCCTCTTGGCGCATTCCTGGAGCGCCCTGGGGGAGTCGGCCGGGCATCGCCCGGGGTGCTTTTCGTCCAGGGGTCCCCAGGAGCCGCCGCGCGCGCGCGTGTGCAGTTGTCTTTCTTTTTGTCCTCCTTCCCTGTTTCTCCTGGAACTTGTTGCCGTAATTTCGGCCACGTTCGCAGGACAGCCTCCGTCTACGTCCTGCGCATGTGCGGTGCCGCTGCGCTTGACCTCTTTTCTTCACCGCTGTTCGGCCATGCGGCGTGGGCCATTGTGCCGCGGTGGTCGTGTTGTCGTTCTCCATCCATGCACCGATCCCGTGACATGCATCTGCTTCGCTGCCCCAGTCCAGGGTTCTCGTCTCGGGCCTGGCGGGTAGCTCGTAGTTGCGTGAACTCGGCAGCCGGCATCCAGTCTGGTGGCTTCGTGTGGAGGACGTTGGTTGGTGCTTCGCTGGAGGGTAAAACAAATATTCTGAATATGCTACCTGAGATCTCAGCGCTGCCTCCTGCGGCGCCTCCAGCGCTGCCCCCTGCGCGCTCCCTGCGCCCGAGAGGAGTGCCATCGCCAATCCGAGAAATCTGCGCGGATCTTCAAAGTGTGTATGTGTGTCGATGCTATGTTATTATGTGGTCGTCTTCCGCCTCCTCCATCCTCATCGTCCTCGCTCATCAGACCTCTCCTCTTCCTCCTCCTCCTCCTCCTCCTCCTCCTCCTCCTGATCATCATCATCATCAGCAGCAGCAGCATCAGCATCATCAGCATCAGCATCAGCATCATCAGCATCATCAGCATCATCATCATCATCATCATCATCATCAGCAGCATCATCATGCGGCCAAAACTTTGGGTCAAGTTCCACTCTGGCTTCGAAAGGAGCTCGAAGTTCGAGCGCCTTTCCCTGGCGTTCCTCGTGCATGTGTGCCGCTGAGGCCCAACGGGGTGCCCGTTCTGGGTGCCGATCAAAATCAGCTCAAAATCGCCCCGTGACGCCAAAACCCGTCCAGGTCAGTCAGAATCGGCCTTTCACAATTTACATATCATATGCGTATATACAGATTGCAGTCCGCGGGCCCGAAAAGGACCCTTGAAGACCGACATTGACAAGGAGGAGGAGGAGGAGGAGGAGGACGACGACGACGACGAGGAGGGGGAGGAGGAGAACTGCTTCACCGCCCTCGTCATTCCCTCCTTCTCCTCACTCCTCCTCCCTCTACTCCTCCTCCTCCTCGTCCTCCTCCTCCTTCTCCTCCTCCTTCTCCTTCTCCTCCTCCTTCACCAGCATGCGATACTCTGTCGCGGAACTCCATAATTATGTCCAGATTCCATTATGTTGCTAACTTCGAGCGTGCCGGTCTGGTCCAGTCCAAGCCAAAACAGTCCCCGGTCTTCCTTCCTCATCCTCCTCCTCCTTCTTCTCCTCCTCCTACTCCTCCTCCTACTCCTACTCCTCCTCCTCCTCCTCGTCCTCCTCCTCCTCCTCCTCCTCCTCCTCCTCCTCCTCCTCCTCCTCCTCCTCCCAATTGTCATCATCCGCCTCCTCATCCTTCCGCGCTCCTCTTCCCTTCCCCCACCTCCATCCTCCGCCTCCATCCCCCTCCTCATCCCTTCACCTTCCTCCCTCTCCCTCATCCTCCTTATCCTCCTCCTCCTCCTGCTCCTCCTCCTCCTCTTCCTTCTCCTCCTCCTCCTCCTGCTCCTCTTCCCCCTCCTCCTCCTTCCTCCGCATCCTCCTCCTTCTCCTCCTCCTCCCTCCGCCTCCTTCCCCTCCTCTGGAATGGTAAACATGCGAGCACCACCCATCCCCGCAATCTGCGCTGTCCCGAGAGAGGCGGTGCTGGAGGAGGGCGACCCCCCGCGGAAGAGCCCCCTAGACGTCGGAGCCGCCCTGGTGGGTGCCCATGTGGAGTACAGGAGCTTCGGCGGGGGGTGTGGGGGTGGAAGCCGTACTGGCACCAGTGTGCGCTCTTCTGCGGCTCCTGCGCCTGCTCCTTCCCGTCTCACCCTCATCCTCCTCGTCTTCTTCCTCCTCCTCCTCCTCCTCCTCCTCCTCCCTGTCTCCTCGTCTCCCTCCTCCTTCTCCTCCCTCCATCCTCCTCCTGCTCCTCCACATCTCCTACCCCTTGATCCTCCTTCCCCTTCTGTTTATTATTCGTCCCTCGGTCGAGTGCAGGAGCCTTGGAGTAGGACAACACACCGACGACGATGTCGAAGCCGTCGACGTCGACGGCGTCGTCGTTCTTAGGGTCTGGGGGCTTTGGAGGGCTTTTCTGAAGGTTCCCGTCGCCACGCCTGGGCGCAGCTCGATTAGTTGGCCAGGACGGGCCTTGAGGGCGTTCTCGGGGGACCTGTTTTTCCAATCTGGTGGGAGCCTCTGAAGACGAAACAGTATCGGCACTGGCATGCCAATTCATCGTGCTTACTGTTGGTCTGCAGTGCCGATTCGAGGTGCGCAGTGGTGTTGGTGATTACTCCAACTCCTCCTCCTCCTCCTCCCTCCTCCTCCTCCTCCTCCTCCTCCTCCTCCTCCTCCTCCTCCTCCTCCTCCTCCTCCTCATGCTCTCAAGCACATGTGGCTCCGTCCCATCCGTAAGCCCCCTTTTTGGCTTATCGCTGGGTCATGGTCGCGCCCTGCGCCTCCGCGTGGCGCTTGAGGGACTTCAAGGCTGCCCGCACATCTGGCGGTTCTTGTCTTAACGACGAAGCAGGGCACATGAAAATGCATATTGTGCTACGGGAGGTCGGCCCTTGGATGGCTGGCCAGAGGCCGCGCAGGCGGTCGCACACCGAGCGGCGGGCCGCCCAACGGCGCGCTCGCGATTCTTGCGAGTGTGGACTGCGGCGGGCGCTGCGCGGCCAGGCCGCCTTTCCCGGTGCCGGCAAGCCGCTGCACCCGATGGTGACCACGTTGCTGCACAGCGGGGAGACGGGACCAGCCCTGAACATGTCGAAGGGCAACGCGTGGTACTCCTCAGTCCTGGAGTGCTTCGTGGGCAAGGCATGCGCGGCGGAGGTGAGCAACGCCCTGGGCCTGCGCGCGGACGCGGAAGTCTTCGATCTTGCCGCAGGGTGCTGGGAGCAGCTGCCCACGCCAGGAGCGCTACGCACATGCGGCGCACTTGTTTTTTCAGGCTGCAGGAGACGACAACTCAGTTTGCCAGATTGGGTGGTCAACGCACGGACATGTATGTCCAAGAAATCAAGTCAGAACACAGAAGTTTCCCATAATGCCGATGGGCCAGGGGGCACTGGTCAACAAGGCCCCTCGGACGCCGTGGCCGCGCGCCGCGCAGGCGAAAGGGGCACTGATCATCAAGACCCCTCGGACGCCGTGGCCGCGCGCCGCGCAGGCGAAAGGGGCACTGATCATCAAGACCCCTCGGACGCCTCGGCCGAGCGCCGCTCAGCAGGAGCAGCGTGGTGGGAAGCTCGTGCTCTTATCTCTCGTGCCTGGCTTGCAGATCCAGCCCCTGTTGAGGGCACTGCCGAGCAGCCGCAGGTGCCGACCGAGAGGGCCACCGTGGCGGTTCGGCCTGCGACAGGTGCCCCAAGCTGGGAGTCCTGCGAAGGCCGTGCGTGACTTCTACGCGATGCTGATATCCTTCGCGTTGGGCCGACAACCCCGTTTATTCCCAGTGGCACCGCTGTGATGGATTGGTCCAGTGCTGCCCAACAGAACGAAGAGCAAGACTGCAAGCAAATGTGATTTTCTCCGTGAATTTGGTTGTTTCACGCACTTGTGAACCTTATTGTATTTATTCGAGTTCAACAGTCCACGTTCCTTGTTCTGGCTGTGTGGAGGGAACTCGTACGAGGTATCGTCCTGTTCCTCGTGCTTCTCGGTCCATTCTGCCATCTCTGGGGCGTGGTGTCCACCTACCATGGCGACCTCATGGGCTTCCCGCTCCTCGCGTGCCTGGAGAAGCTCAGGGGTGGCGACAGGTGCTATAATCATATCGCTACGCGATCAGGCAGAGTCTCCAGAGTCCCCTCCTCCTCCTCATGCTCCCCCTCCTCCCCCTCCTCATCCTCCTCCTCCTCCTCCTCCGCCTCCTCCTCCTCATCCTCATCCCATTCCTCCTCCTCCTCGTCCCCCTCGTCCTCCTCGCATCACCAGCATCATCATAATCGTCATAGTCATCAGCGTCATCATCAGCAGCATCAGCATCTGCATCAGCATCGCCATCGGCATCAGCATCATCATCCGCATCAGCATTAGACTCAGCATCATCATAAGCATCAGCATCATCATCGGCCTCAGCATTAGCATCAGCAGCATCATCATCACCAGCAGCATCATCAGCAGCAGCATCATAGTCAGCATCGTCGTTAGCATTATCAATAGCAGAATCATCAGCATCAGCATCAACAGCGACAGTATTGCCACCAACATCAGCATCAGCACCATCATCATCATCAGTAGCGGCATCCTCTTCAACACACGCGGCATCAACATGATCCTCGCCAGCATCATCAGCAGCATTGTCATCAGCATCAGCATGAGCATCAACTTTATCATCACCATTATCAGCATCAGCAGCATCGCCATCATGAGCGGCATCGCAATATTCATCATCAGCAGCATCATCAGCACCAGCATCGTTAGCATCAGCATCATCAGCAACAGCATCATCAGCATCAGCGTCAGTATCATCAGCATCATCAGCATCAGCATCATCATCGTGCTCATCAGCAGCATCGTCATGAGCAGCATCCGAATCATCACCGTCAATCGCATCATCACCACCATCGATGTCCACACCCTTCCTCTTCCACTCGTCTCAAGTTCCGCCTCCTCTGTTCCCTCCTGTTCGTCCTGTGTTCCTCATTCCTCTTATAGACATCCTCCTTCCCATTCCACATCTCCCTCCTCAAGTCGTCCTACCCCACTTCCCTCTATACGCCTCCTCCTCCTCCTCCTCCTCCTCCTCCTCCTCCTCCTCCTCCTCCTCCCCTTACTACTTACCCTTTTCCTCACCATCATTCCTTCTCCCCCCCCCCGCCTCGTCCCCACATCATCCTCCTCGTCCTCCTATTTCCCGTCTCCTCCCCGTCGGTCTCCTCCCCGTCACATTACCTCCCATGTGTGTTGCGTTGCTCGGATTGTACCGGCGAAGCTGTAGCACCTGCGCCACCCACTAGTGGGGAGAAGTTAAGCAGCTGCAGGACGACAAGTAGGACAAAGACAAGCTGTTCAACCTGGGTAGTCCGCAAGAACCCGGGCAGCGGCGCACACTGGTGAGTAGGAGGAGGAAGGGAAACAGTGAAATCGTTAAAACCATCAGATGGAGGACCGAATGAGGCGAGGTACGGACGAATTATCGGACGGCCGCAGGTGCGTGTGTGCGTGCGCGCGCGATGCAAGGGCAAGTGCAATCGCAAAGCGAGAGCACCCTAGGTAGCACGGGGTTGTGAGGCTGAAGTGCGTTACGGAAGTGGCGAAAATGATTCACAGGCAAGAAGCCGAAATAAACGTTCGGCCGGTTCACCGTTCATCGTAGCTGGTTGGGCAGAGTGGTGTCGGATGTCACGGGACCCTCATGTAGTACAGCTCCCCCTCCCCCCCACCACACCTACCCCTCTCCTCAAATATCCAGTGCAAGTGCCGCTGGAAGGCAGAGGGAGATTGGTACGACGGGCTGGGCAATGCTGAATGGTACAAGTATTGAAGACGCCTACGGCGACCCACCCTAGTGGCGGCCGATTGGGACCCCTAAGAAGCCTCTTGGCCGTCGAAGGCCGTCTCGGAGGCCTCCCGTGCGCCGTCGTAGGGCCATCGTGGGGCGCTTTCGGGCCGTCTTGGATGGTTCCTGGGCCGTCATTGGGCCCTCTTGGGGCCGTCCTGGAGGGCTTCGTGGGCCACCTTGGGGCAAGGGTGACCCGTCTCGAGGACCTCTCGGGTATTTGTTGAGTTGTCTTGGAGCCACTTTGGAGGCCCCATGGGGCATTCTTCGGCGGTCGGAAGCCCGAAAAGGCGAGAACGCGAACAACATTCAACAGCCTAAACAAAGTTTTAGCCAGCGTGGGCTCCAGACAGGAAAGTATTGAGTTGTGGATGTGCAAGCTGTGCGGTGCAACCATGTGTTGCAAGCCATGTGGTGCAAGCTATGCGGTGCAAGCTGCGTGGTGCAACATGCGTGATGAAATATATGTGGTGCGAGCTGTGTGGTGCAAACTGCGTGGTGCAATATACGTGGTGTAATATACGTGGTGCAAGTTATGTCATGCAAGCTATGTGGGACAACTAGTGGCTGCCAACTCATGTATCGACAATTCCACTGCTCAAGCAATCATCCCACCCACCCACCCGCAACTTGGCGTGCAAAAGCCATTCGGTGGCGATTGCGGTGATTGCTTGGCCATGGCTGGCGGATCTGTGCGGCCGCGCTGGCGCTCGCAAGCTCGCACGCAGAGCGGCTAGCTGGCGCGCTGGCGCTTACCGATGCGGCCGCGCTGGCGCTTACCGATGACGTGCCAGCGTGTGTCTGAGGCCGCGCTGGCGCGTGAGCATTTCAATGTGGGTCGGTAGCTCTGGCGGGCGCGGTATCGTGATGGCGTCGACAACGGCGGCAAAGATGGTGTCAGTAGCAATGGTGGTGGCGATGATGGCGATGACGACGGTAAGGCCAATGGCAACGCCGATGCTGGTAGCTCCGATGACGATGATGTCCGTGTGTCGATGGCGAAGGTACGTGAGTGATGATGGCGGGAATTGCGGCGATTGTTGATGGCGGTGACGTTATGCGGGGGCGCTGATGAGGGTGATAGTGAGGAAGTGTACGCGCACATATCCAATCACCCTTGCACTGTTGGGTTGGAATACATGTTTTGTTGGTGTGTTTGGTGTGTTGTATGTTTGAACAGCTTCATGATGAAAGGCGTCGAGCACCAGTGATCTGCGTGGTGCAGACGCTGTAGCGCAATCCACGTGGTACAATCATCGCGGTGCTAGCCATGACGCGTGAGCTGTCTGGTGCAGGCTATGTAGTACAAGCTGTGTGGTGTGAGCTACAGTGGGGGCGTGTGCCAAGAAGCCAGTTGGATTTTGCCAGGGTGCCCTGGGTTTCTTGGATCTCGATCGGCCCCCGATGAGATCCTGACGATGTTCGACCGACACATGGGGGTTCTCACGGGACAAATCGCGGAGGATTTCAGGGCTGGGTCTCTTGCGGAGGTTTCTCTTGGCCGGGCCCCCACTGTACAAGCTCTGTGGCGTGAGCCCGGCGGTGCTGCCATGCGTAGGCGCCCCCACGGGGCTCCCACGGGCGCGTGCCCCAGCCGCAAAAAAAAAGCCTTGACAAAAGCCCCTCCGGGCGCAGGGCGCCGCGAGGAGGAGCCCACGGGCGCCCGCCCACCGGGCAGCAGCCGAGAGCCAGGGCAAATACGCACACGGTGCGGGGGCGCGCCTCGGGAAGCCACATGCTTCTCGTCAGGGCAACCCGGGTTCCCTCGCTCCGCGCGCGGGCGCGCACCAAGAAGCCATATGCTTTTCGTCAGGGCACCCTGGGTTTCCTCGCTCCGCGCGCGGGCGCGCATCAAGAAACCATCTGCTTTTCGTCAGGGTACCCCGGGTTTCCCCGCTCCGCGCGCTGCGCGGTGACTTCCCGTGGCCGTTGAAGGAGCTGCTGCGTACAGAGTGCTCCACGTTTCCCCTCAGGTGCACCTCGCGCGAGGGTTCTCAGGGTTGGGTTTCTTGCGAGGGTGTCTTGCGGCCGCGCCCGCGAGGGCAAGCACTGTTCAGGGAATCACTGTTTCAGGCCCCTTCAGCCTCTCTTTTGTGGGACCTCTCGGAGCCTTTGGGAGGCGACTTGGCGAACCTCTTGGGCCGTCTGGAGGCCATCTTAGGCGTCTTGGAGCGATCCTCGGGCGGCTCCGGGCCTCCTTGTATTGTCGCGGGGGCATTTTGGATCTCTCTTGGCCTCTTCTGAGGCACTCTTGCCTTTGGACAAGTCTAGTGAGAACAAGCGGGGACACGCGCCACGCCCAAAGAAATCCGAGAGTTTGGGGCCGGGGACCTTAAATCATCAGGGCCGGAGACCCAGGGCTCACGGCACCTGAGGACACTCCAACCCGGGCCTCGCGGCACGATGGCGGATAGGTTGGGCGATTTGCTGAACACGCCGTGAGATTGCGGCGTTGAGGCAATCTGCTCAGCACGCGTTGAGATTATGCTGGCAAGGCAATCTCTGTACACTTCAGCGGCTGAGACTGTGAGAAACAGGCAATCGGCTACACTTGAAAGGCGGATGGTGTGATGGTTGGGCGGTGCTGAAGGTCGAAAAATGTAGTTGGACGGTTTGCTGGGCGTTTTGACGATCTCTGTACACTTGTTGGTTGCCGCTGCGGGAACCACTTCCACAACCACCTCTTCCCTTGCCCCCCCCCTCCCAGCCTCCCTCTAAATGTAAACTGGGCGGCTGTCTGTACCGGAAGGTTGAAGCGTACTCTTAAAGTTGTCAGTTGGGCGTTATGCTGAGCGTTCTGGCGGCTATTCGTGCATGGTGCGGCTGCAGCTGAAATATTAGTACGTGGCGGCACTCAAGGGTGACGTGCCACGATTGATCACTGCTCTACTTGCATGTGTGAGTTGGGCGATATGCTGAACATCCTGTCGATGTTCTGTACCATTTACGGCTGCAGCTCTGAGAGCCTCTCCGACATTACCGCTGGCATGTTTGAGCGGCGGCGGGTGTTGAGTGCTGTTTGTACGGGTTGGATGGTGTTGACGTTTGAATGTGTCAGTTGGGCGACTCGTTTGGCATTTCGGCGGCATTGTGTCCTCCTCCTCCTCCTCCTCCTCTTCCTCCTCCTCCTCCACCCAGCCTCCCTCAAAATATAAGTTGGGCGGCAAAGGCGTTGAGTGTTGTCTGTACAGGTTGGCAGAAATTTATTGTTAAAGTTGGAAATTGGGCGATCTGCGCTTTGGCGAAGATCTGTGCACCTTACAGCTGCAGCTGTATAAACAAAGGAGTGGCGGTAGTGATGGGTGAGGTGTGAGACCTGGGCAACGCTAGGCTAACAAGTGTGATTTGGGCGATCAATTGATATGCGGCCGCAGTTGTGAGACCACCATCATTCTCCACAAACATTTATCTTCCTCTCCATCCTTATCCACCCCCTCTATCTTTTTTTCCACGCCTACCGGGTCCCCTCTGACAGCATACCTAACATGTTGCACAATCACTCCTCTCTCAAATTCGCTTCTGTTGGGCCTCCTGGGGGGACCCACGCCGCCACCGCTGGACTCCCTCTGGGATCCTCCTCAGCCCGTGCACCAGGATAAGCTCGGCGAGTGTCAGTAGCGGCCTTTTCTGCTCCCCGAGGAGCGCCTCAAATGGCGGCTGGGTCCCAGCGAAGGCCTGCCGTCTCCCTCTTGGTGGGGTTCGAGGATCGAGGAGGGGTCGAGGAACGAGGATCCAGAACGGGCTGAGGATCAAAGAGGGGCCGAGGATTGAGGATCCAAGAGGTGTCAAGGATCGAGGATCGGCTCGAGGATCGAGGAGGCCCTCCCTGTCCTCCTATGCCCCTCTCTCCCTCCTCCAACTTTCCCTCCTCATGCTGCCTCTTCCCCCCCCCCTCCTCAAGGGCAAGAACATGCTGATCAATACCACTCCAGAACAATGCCCAGCACAGGGGCAATATCATTATGATCACCATCAGGCTGGAACAGGGCCAAACTCAGGAGCAATGGCATACTGATCACCACCGTTTCGGGAAAGTCCCTGCCCAGGGGCAGTGCCATGCTGATCACCACCATCGGCCTAAGATCGCGGATAGGCCGGTACATCCAAAACTGGAAGGGGGAGTGTTTCAGGACAAGACCCTGCCTAAGGGCAAGAACATATTGAGCACGATTATCGGCCAGAAGTCGCAACACCATATCAGAACAAGGCCTTGTTCAGTCAGTGGCTGGCAAACTGAGCACCAGTGCAGAACAATGCCATGCTCAGTGGCAAGGAATGTGATCACCGCCATCCCAGAACAAGGCCCAGCTCAGGGGCGCGAGCCACAGCTGGATCCGCAAACTGAGCACCACCTATCCAGAACAAGGCCCTGCACAGGGGCAGTAGAACTGATCACCACCATTCCAAAAGACGAGGCCCTGCTCAGGGCAGTAACAGAATGATCACCATCACAGTACAGCCAGAATTGACAGGCGTTCCAGAACAAGGCCCTGCTCAGGGGCAAGAACATGCTGATCAATACCACTCCAGAACAATGCCCAGCACAGGGGCAATGACATCATGATTTCCATCAGGCTAGAACAGGGCCAAACTCAGGGGCAATGGCATACTGATCACCACCGTTTCGGGAAAGTCCCTGCCCAGGGGCAGTGCCATACTGATCACCACCATCGGCCTAAGATCGCGGATAGGCCGGTACATCCAAAACTGGAAGGGGGAGTGCTCCAGGACATGACCCTGCCTAAGGGCAAGAACAGATTGAGCACGATTATCGGCCAGAAGTCGCAACACCATATCAGAACAAGGCCTTGTTCAGTCAGTGGCTGGCAAACTGAGCACCAGTGCAGAACAATGCCATGCTCAGTGGAAAGGAATGTGATCACCGCCATCCCAGAACAAGGCCCAGCTCAGGGGCGCGAGCCACAGCTGGATCCGCAAACTGAGCACCACCAATCAAGAACAAGGCCCTGCACAGGGGCAGTAGAACTGATCACCACCATTCCAAAAGACGAGGCCCTGCTCAGGGCAGTAACAGAATGATCACCATCACAGTACAGCCAGAATTGACAGGCGTTCCAGAACAAGGCCCTGCTCAGGGGCAAGAACATGCTGATCAATACCACTCCAGAACAATGCCCAGCACAGGGGCAATGACATTATGATTTCCATCAGGCTAGAACAACGCCAAGCTCAGGAGCAATGGCATACTGATCACCACCGTTTCGGGAAAGTCCTTGCCCAGGGGCAGTGCCATTCTGATCACCACCATCGGCCTAAGATCGCGGATCGGCCGGCACATCCAAAGTTGGAAGACCCCGCCTACGGGCCAGAACATATTGAGCACGATTATCGGCCAGACGTCGCAACACCATATCAGAACAAGGCCCTGTTCAATGGCTGGCAAACTCAGCACCGTATCAGAACAAGGCCATGCTCAGGGGCAATACAAGAGAACACCGCCATTTCAGAACAAGGCCCAGCTCAGGGGCGCGAGCCACAGCTGGATCCGCAAACTGAGCACCACCTATCCAGAACAAGGCCCTGCACAGGGGCAGTAGAACTGATCACCACCATTCCAAAAGACGAGGCCCTGCTCAGGGCAGTAACAGAATGATCACCATCACAGTACAGCCAGAATTGACAGGCGTTCCAGAACAAGGCCCTGCTCAGGGGCAAGAACATGCTGATCAATACCACTCTAGAACAGTGCTCAACACAGGGGCAATAACATTATGATCAGCATCAGGCTAGAACAAGACCGCCAAACTCAGGGGCAATGGCATACTGATCACCACCATTTCGGGAAAGGCCCTGCCCAGGGGCAGTGCCATACTCATCACCACCATCGGCCTAAGATCAAGGATCGGCCGGTACATCCAAAATTGGAAGGGGGAGTGTTCCAGGACGACCTTGCGTGAAGGCCAGAACATATTGAGCACGATTACCAGCCAGAAGTCGCAACACCATATCAGAACAAGGCCCTGTGCAGTGGCTGGCAAACTCAGCACCGTACCAGAACAAGGCCATGCTCAGGGGCAATAAGAAGTAATCACAACCATCGCAGAACAAGACCCAGCTCAGGGGCGCGAGCCACAGCTGGATCCGCAAACTGAGCACCACAAATCAAGAGCAAGGCCCTGCACAGGGGCAGTACAACTGATCACCACCATTCCAGAAAACGAGGCCCTGCTCAGGGGCAGTAACAGAATGATCACCGTCACAGTACAGCCAGGATTGACAGGCGTTCCAGAACAAGGCCCTGCTCAGGGGCAAGAACATGCTGATCAATACCACTCTAGAACAGTGCTCAGCACAGGGGCAATAACATTATCATCACCATCAGGCTAGAACAAGGCCAAACTCAGGGGCAATGGCACACTGATCACCACCATTTCGGGAAAGGCCCTGCCCAGGGGCAGTGCCATACTGATCACCACCATCGGCCTAAAATCACGGATAGGCCGGTACATCCAAAATAGGAAGAGGCAGTATTTCAGAACAGGGCCCGGTCGATTTGGGCAACGTCCCCCCTCCTCCTCCTCCTCCTCTTCCTCCTCCTCCTCCTCATTCTCTTTCTCCTGTCCCGCGCCTCTACGCTAATTATGTGCACGGCGTGTGAGTGTTCGGCTCACAGCCGCGGTTGGCCGACCCCATTGGCCGTTGTTGTTGCCTGAAGTTCGCCCTTTCAACGCATGGACTCGCCCCCCCGATGCTGCGGGCCACTGCCGTGCCTCATCCATGTAGCCTATTATATATGTGTATATATACATGTGTGTATACATGTGTGTATGTATGTATGTATGTATGTATGTATGTATGTATGTATGTATGTATGTATGTATGTATGTATGTGTGTAGGTTGGTGGGTGTTCGCACCCATTCCAGCATATACCGTCCTGCTGGCTTGCTAGTGTTGCCCCTTCTTGCCCCGTCGTCCCCCTTCTTGCTTCTGCCTCACGCGCGACAGAAATATGAGTTGGTACCTATCAGCCGCATGGCCATTCGGGTTGCGATTTCTTTGTTGTGTGCTGTGCGTTGTTCATACAATTGTGGTGCGTTGCTTGATTGTGTGAATGTTCGTTTGGACCATATGAGGTTGCACACGCTGTGCCATTGTCAGTCCCATTCGCCTCGCTTCTCCTGCTCCTCCTCCTCCACCCTCCTCCACCTCCACCTCCTCCTCCTATCCTCTCTGCCCCCCCCCGTGCCCAGTGCTTTCTTACTTCTGGCATTCTGGCATCGAATAGCATCCTCAAGAGCAGCATCGGCCTTCACCCTTCTCGGTTGGGGCTGCGGATCTTCATCGCGGTCTCTGTAAAATTTGGCTCGGGATGCGAACAGCATGCGCACGAGCACACACCATGCTGATCGTGCGGGAGAAAAGAGGTAAGTCTCTCCCCGAAGGTGACGATTGAGGTTGGAAGAACTGACTTGCTACACCACCTATGCCCACAGGGCTGGTGGGACTATGATCTGAGCGTCTTTGCATCCTCTACCGTTCGCAAGAAGGGTGCAAGGCACCTCCTCAACAAAACAAGGCTTTCGCCTGAATAGCAGGCACATGAGGTACTTGTCATTCAAAGGAAACGCTTCCTGTAGTGATAGGGAGACTTGTAGGGAATTCTGAGGATGGTGTTTGGGACAGAAGGGTGTGCAGTATCTCTGCTTCGTTGATGCATCCTGGGGTTGCTATTGTCTTCCTCCTTCTTCTCCTCTTCCTCTCTCCTCCTCCTCCTCCTCCTCCTCCTCCTCCTCCTCCTCCTCCTCCTCCTGCTCCTGCTCCTCTCTCCTCATCCTTCTCCTCCTGCTTTTCATTCCTCCTTCCTCCCTCCCTCCCTCCTCTTCCTCCTCCTCCTGCTCCATTATCTGTCCTGCGTACACCTCCTTCCCTCCCTCCCTCCTTCCTCCCGCGAGCTCTCCTCCTGCGAAGGTCCTCTCGTTCCACAGCGCGTCCGGCCTGTACGACCTGGACTGCCGAGGGCAGGTGCGCACTGGAAGTTTGAGGGGAACAGAGGGTCCTCCTCCTCCTGCTCCTCCTCCTCATCCTCCTCCGTCTCCTCATCCTCCTCCTCCTCCTTATCAACATCCACGTCCTTGTGTCCCTCCCTCCCCCTCTCCCTTCCTCCCTCCCCCTTCATCTCCCCTCCTTCAACTCAAACTCAAATTCCAGGGTATCCCCCGTCTCATCGTCAGCATCATCATCATCAGAATCATCATCATCATCATCATCATCATCATCATCATCATCATCATCATCATCATCATCATCATCATCATCATCATCATCATCATCATCATCACTTTTTGCGGGAAATCTCCTGGTCTTAGTGTTCACAGAGTCCCGACCCGTTCCCTGGGGCTGCAGTCTCATCCCGAGTCGTTTTTATTAACGGTCCCAGGGCCCTGCGAAATTTGATGGGGCCGAAAACGAAGAAAGGAAAAACATCCCGTCTTGTTGTTCAATGCACCGGATGCTTGGGACAATTGAGGGCCCACGTTACGACAAAAAGAAAAAACATCATGTCGGGGCTTTGGGCCCACCCGGGGGCAGGTGCACGCCAGCAGCCTGAGAGTGCCTGGCGGCGCAGCAGCCGCCGAGAGCGCCAAGGAAAACAGCAGCGCGGGCGGCAACGGGGACCTCCCGGCGAGCGCGGTCCTGGGGCACAGCATCTTCCCCGTCGGCTCTAGCGTGGAGCTCAGAGGAGGAAAAGCTACCCATACCGCCACCCTTCCTTCGTTTTCGCCTGTGCAAGCCTTGTGGGAGGCCCTCGTCGCCACGGCTGGATTCGCCCCGACATTCTGGTCGAAACGCACCCTGGGAGAGGTCCAGGGAGTTGCGATATCGGTACCTTCGGGTTTCGCCAGGAGTATCTCAGCGTGAGCCTCGGGTGCTGGGTCCACGGCAAGGTCCTGCAGTTCCACGCGCAGGGTTGCTTGTACGACTTGGATTGCAAAGCCCAGGCGGCAAGCATCTCTCTCCCCCCGTCCTACCATCCTCCTTCCCTCCCTGCCCCTTCTGTCCTTCATTCCTCCTTGGTCCCCCTTCCCGTCCCTCGGCGCCCCGAGGAGGAGAAGCAGGTTGATGAGGAGGAGGAGGAAGAGGAGGCGGAGGAAGAGAGGGAGGAGGAGGAGGATTAGGAGGCGGATTAGGAGGCGGATCAGGAGGCGGGGGACTGTACTGTCTTTGTGCGTCCCGTACACACCGACGTCGATGCCAAATGTTGTCGTCGAGTCGACGCCTAATTACCCTCAGCGGCCGCCACGTTTGTTTCGAAGTTAAGCCAAGGCTTGAACACAGTGCGAACCTGCTCACCCAGCTTTCCCGACCGAAAGCAGACCCACTGCCACTATCACAGCTACCACGTCAGGTCTAAGAAAAACATCCTGCTGCAGCACTGCAGCACCAGTTAGCTGCACTGCCGGGGAATTGCGTATCCAGCGGACTGCGGTAATGCCCGCCACCGGGTCAGCCCAGCTTTTCTGGGTAGCGACCTCATTGAGAGAGGCGCCACAGGGAGCAGAGGCGTGTGGCACGTCGTGTCCCGAGCCCTGATACCTCATCTTTCCCTCTCCTCCTCCTCCCCCTCCCCCTCCTCCTCCTCCTCCTCCTCCTCCTCCTCCTCCCCCTCCTCCTCCTCCTCCTCCTCCTCCTCCTCCTCCTCCTATCCTCCTCCTCCCTCCTCCTCCTCCTCCTCCTCCTCCTCCCTCCTCCTCCTCCTCCTCCTCCTCCTCCCTCCTCCTCCTCCTCCTCCTCCTCCTCCTCCTCCCTCCTCCTCCTCCTCCTCCTCCTCCTCCTCCTCTCCTCCTCCTCCTCTCCTCTCCTCCTCCTCCTCCTCCTCCTCCTCCTCCTCCTCCTCCCCCTCCTCCTCCTCCTCCTCCTCCTCCCCCTCCTCCTTCTCCTCCTCCCCCACAATTGCTCAATATGAATACTACTCTCCCTCTTCCCCTGATGACGGTTTGAAAGTGCTTGACCCCCCCCCGCGTATTGTTTTTCACACACAGGTTTCCCCGGAGTTGGGTTTTCGCTTGCATTTGTTTTCAAAGTGCTGCTCTCGCTGAAGCGCCGGCCTCATTTTCGGGCCCCGCTCGTTCCGAATCGTCCTCCCGCTGCAGCGCTGGCCTCATTTCCGTGCTTCCGCTGGTTCCGAATCGTGCTCCCGCTGCAGCGCTGGCCTCAATTCCGCGCTTCCGCTCGTCTGGACTCGTGCTCCCGCTGCAGCGCTGGCGTCATTTCCCGTGCCATGCCACGGCATGCAATGCAATGCTAGGTTGATACTACGCTTCGCGGTGCTCTTCTACGCCATGCCATGCCGTGCTCTACAATGCATCGCGTACCCTTTCGGGATCCTTGCCCTGCTCGACATCCGACTGTGCGAGTAGAGAGGGGATCTACGCCATGGTAAGGGATGGGAGGGAGGGGTAGGATGTCAGATATGACGCGAGCGCACCTAGCTTGTCCTCCTCCCCCTCCCCCTCCTCCTCCCAATCCTCCCCCTCCTCCTCCTTCTCCCCCTTCCCCTCCTCCTCCTCCTCCTCCTCCTCCTCCTCTTCCTCCTCCTCAAATCCAGGTGAGCAATCGAAAGGCAGTCAAAGACCAAAGGGAAACCACATGTTGTTTCATCTTCGGGCCCTGCGGGGGGTCCTCTTGGACGTCTTTCGGGCCATCGTGAGGCCATCCTCCGCCGCCTTGGGGCTATCTTGGGCCGTCTTGGGGCTCGTGGCCCGTATGTGCTGCATCTTGGGCCAGCTTAGCGATCTTAGTGGCCTGTTTGGGCTGTCTTGGAAGCAATAGTGAGCATCTTCGACGCCTCCGAGAGCCCAAAAGAGGCGTCGGGGCGCCCACGGACCTTCGGGAGGGGGGGGTGCAAGCGAGGGAGCGTGACCTGGAGGGGGGGGGAGGGCTTTTAGAAGATTGCAGGAACCCTCCCAGGCAGCACTTGGCATCCTACCACGCCTCAACGTTCCATGGGGCATGGTGGCAGGTTGCGCATACTCAGGAAATCAGCCCAAGATCGCTCTGCTACTTTGACACGGCGGCATAGCATGCTAAATCGTCGTTTTGTCGGTCTGCCCATATGGAAGACGAGTCAGCCATCAAGTAAGAATGAAGATCGTTCTCGACCTGATCGCCCTTGGCATCGCAAGCCACAGGGCCGCAAGAAGACGAAGAACCCCCAGTCCATCACCGATGCGGAGGGCACCGCCACAGGGAGTCCTGCGGAAGACAGCGGAGGATGATCGCTTCGCCGCCAGTTCCACTCGGCCGTGAACGCAGCGCTAATCTTGGACATGGTCCAGCAGACCGGCCCATCGCAGCGAGCTGCACTCCGATGCCCACGGCATTCAAACTTCGGGTCGTGGCCAGAGCCCTGCTGTGTATTCGCCGTTCTGCGCGGAAGGAGGCGGCCCCTTATAACCGCCGGCGAGGGTGGGAGGCGGGGGGCCGGCGGCCTCCGAGGCCACCGCGAGGACAGCCAGGATCGATCAGCTCAGGAGGGGAAAAAACACACAGACACAATTAATCGGCGATTCCCAGGAAAATATGGGAAAATATGGGAAGTGGGGGAGGAGACAAAAACCCAGAAAATATGGGAAAATATGTGGGATATTTTTATTTGTGTGTATTTATTTGTGTGTTCCAGTTCCCCTTCATCAGCGGGCTGCGTCGGGCTTGTCGGAGCCACATGCGGGCTGCCACGTCGCTTGACGAGACACGCGAAAGAAGGAGCTGATGTGGTCGCACGGAGGGCTGCTCAGGCGCGGGAAGGGGCAATGGAAAATGGTTGACCCTCGTGACCTCACGGCTCCAGCGGTGAGACGTGTCGAGGACGCTCAAGCTCGTGCCAGCTGCCAGGCCCGTGCGAGTTCTCCGCAGGTCCCCAGAGGCCTCTGGAGGCCCAGGGAGCTTGAAGAAAGGCCCGAGACGTCCAGTAACCTTGATCCGCGATGACCATCGTCCTCGTCCTCGTCCCTCCTCCCCCGCCGCCTGGAAGCAGGAGGGCGGAGGCCAGACGCCGCCGACGATTACCACGACGGCCACAACGCCGACGACGCGGACGACTGGAAGTGGACGCCGACAACGGCGACGACGGCGGCGGCGGCGACGACGACGACGGCGACGGCGACGACGACGACGACGACGACGACGACGACGACCACGACGCCAAGACGTCGCCGACGCCATCGACGACGACGACGACGATGACGACGGCGACGGCGACAGCCACGACATCGACGGCCACGACGGCGACGGCAACGGCTAATTACGACGACCGACGACGACGACGACGACGACGACGGCGACTGCGACGGCGACAGCGACGGCGACGGCGGCGACGACGACGACGCCGACGACGACAACGCCGCCGACGACAACGACGACGATGACGACAGCGACGCTCAGATGTCGCCGACGCCACCGACGACGACGACGACGCCGCCGACGACGCCGACGCCATCGACGACGACGACGACGACGACGACGACGACGACGACGGCGACGGCGACGGCGACGGCGACGGCCACGACGACTAAGACGACGGCCACGACGACGCCTCGACGACGCCGACGACGACGACGACGCCGACGACGACGACGACGACGCCAAGACGTCGCCGACGCGACCTGCGACGACGGCGACGGCCACGACGATGAAGACGACGACAACGACGACGACGACGACGGCGACGACGACGACGGCGACAGCGACGGCGACGGCGGCAACGACGACGACGACGGCGGCGACAACGACGACGCCGCCGACAACGACGACGACGACGACAACGACGGCGACGCTCAGACGTCGCCGACGGCCACGACGACGACGACGACGACGCTGATGAAGACGGCTACGACGACGGCCACGACGACGACGGCGACGGCGACTGCGACGACGACGGCAACGACGACGACGATGACGGCGACGGCGACGGCGGCGGCGGCGGCGGCGACGGCGACAGCGAGGGCTTCGACGACGCCACGACGACGACGACGACGACGCCACGACGACGACGACGACGACGCCACGACGACGACGACGACAACGACGACGACGACGCCGACGCCGACGCCACCGACGACGGCGACGACGACGACGACGATGACGACTGCGACGGCGATGGCCACGACGACGACGACGGCGACGGCCACGCTGACGCCACCTACAACGACGACGACGACGACGACGCCAAGACGTCACCGACGCCATCGACGACAACGACGACGACGATGACGACGGCGACGGCGACGGCCACGACGACAACGGCGACGGTGACGATGACGACGCCGACGACGACGACGACGACAACGACGTCGACCACGACGCTGACGACAACGACAACGACGACGACACGAAGACGTCGCCGACGCGACCGACGGAGACGGCGACGACCACGACGACTAAGACGACGGAGACGACGACCACAACGACGACGGCGATGGCGACAGCGACGGCCACGGCCACGGCCACGACGGCGACGGCCACGGCCACGACGGCGACGACGACGACGACGCCGACGACAACGACGGCGACGGCGACGACGACGACGACAACGACGACGGCGACGGCGGCGAGGACAACGGCGACGGCCACGGCGACGCCGCTGACGACGACGTCGACGGCCACGACGACGACGACGACGACCAGGATGACGACGACGACGACGACGGCAACGCTCAGACGTTGCCGACGCCACCGACGACGACGACGGAGACGACGACGACGATGAAGACGGCGACGGCGACGGCGACGGCCACGACGACGACGACGACGACGACGACGGCGACGGCCACGACGACGACGACGATGACGGCGAGGGCGACAACGACGACGACGACGACGACGATTCTCAGACGTTGCCGACGCCACCGACGAGGAAGGCGACGACGACGACGACTACGACGATTACGCCCATGACAACGACGGCGACGACGACGGCGACGGCGACGGCGACCGCCACGACGAGGGCAGCGACGGCCATGACGACAACGTCGACGACGACGATGACGACGACGGCGACGGCGACTGCGACAGCGACAGCGACGGCGACGGCGGCGACGACGCCACGACGACGGCGACGACGCCAAGACGTCGCCGATGCCATCGACGACGACAACGACGATGACTACGGCGACGGTCAATGCCACGACGACAACGGCGACGGCCACGACGACGACGACGACGACAACGACGACGACGACGCCGACGACGACGACGCCAAGCCGTCGCCGACGCGACCGACGACGACGGCGACGGCCACGACGACGACGACGACAACCGACGACGACGACGACGACGACGACGACGACGACGACGACGGCGACGGCCACGAAGATGAAGGCGACGGCCACGACGACGGCGACGACGAAGATGACGCCGACGGCGATGACGACGGCGACGACGACGGCGCCACGACGACGACGACGACGACGACGACGCCTCGACGAAGACGACGACGCAAAGACGTCGCCAAGCTACCGACGACGACGACGACGATGACGACTGCGACGGCGATGGCCACGACGACGACGGCCTCGGCCACGCTGACTCCACCGACGACGACGACGTCGACGTCAACGACGACGACAAGATGTCGCTGACGCCACCGACGAGGAAGGCGACGGCCACGACGACGACGACGCCGACGACGACGACAAGGACGACGACGACGACGCCGACGGCGACGGCGACGACGACGGCGCCAAGACGTCGCCGACGGGACCGTGGACGACGGCGACGGCGACGACGACTGCGACAGCGACGGCGACGGCGACGACAAGGGCCAGCCACAACGACGACGACGACGACGACGACGATGACGACGGCGACGACGACGACGACGACGACGACGACGACGACGACGACGGCAAGCCGTCGCCGACGCCATCGTCGACGACGATGACGACGGCGACGGCAACGGCCGCGACGACGACGACGACGACGCCGACGACAACGACGACGACGACAACGACGGCCACGGCCACGACGACGACGACGACAACCGACGACGACGATGACGACGCTGAGGAAGACGGCTACGGCGACGGCCACGACGACGACGGCGACGGCCACCAGGACGACGACGGCAACGACGACGACGATGACGACGACAGCGACGGCGACGGCGGCGGCGACGGCGACAGTGACGGCGACGACGACGCCACGACGACGACGACGACGACGACGACGACGACGCCACGACGACGACGACGACGACAACGACGACGACGACGCCACGACGACGACGCCGACGACGACGACGACAACGACGACGACGGCGACGGCGACAGCGACGGCGACGACGGCGACGACGCCACGACGACGACGACGCCAAGACGTCGCCGACGCCATCGACGGCGACGACGATGACGACGACGGCGACGGTGACGCCGCCGACGACGACGGCGACGGCCACGTCGACCACGACGACGACGACGACGACGACGACGACGACGACGCCACGATCACGACGACGACGACGACAACGACGACGACGGCGACGGCGACAGCGTCGGCGACGCCATCGACGACGACGACGACGATGACGACGACGGCGACGGCGACGGCCACGACGACAACGGCGACGGCCACGACGACGACGACGCCGAGGACGACGACGACGACGACGCCAAGACGTCGCCGACGCGACCGACGACGACGGCGACGGCCAACGACTACGACGACGACGACGACGACGACGACGACGACGACGACGACTACGACGACGACGACGGCGACGACGACGGCGACGGCGACGACCACGACGACGACGGCGACGGCCACGACGACGACGACGTTGACGACGACGGCAACGGTGACGGCGACAGCGGCGGCGACGGCGGCGACGACGCAACGACGACGACGACGACGACGACGACGACGACGACGACGACGACGACGGCGACAACGACGACGACGACGACGACGACGACCACGACGACGACGACGACGACGACGACGACGACGACGACGGCGACGACGACGACGGCGACGGGAGGTGCCGGCCGACCGGCTGCGCTGGCCCGCTGCCCCGCGGACACCGGCCCCAGAGGAGCCCTCCCCGGGGGCCCTCGGGCTCGGTGGCCAGGACCGGCCGTGGGCGAAGCTCGGCGGCCGACGTCGTCGCCGTCGTCGCGAGGAGGAGGAGGAGGAGGAGGAGGAGGAGGAGGAGGAGGAGGAGGAGGAGGAGGAGGAGGAGGAGGGGGAGGGAGGAGGAGGAGAGGAGGAGGGGGAGGAGGGGACGCTACAAGCATAGAATTTCAAGTTCGCCGAACGTTGAAAAGTGGGAGCGGAGGGAAGAGGAGGAGGAGGAGGAGGAGGAGGAGGAGGAGGAGGAGCAGGAGGCGAAGGTGGAGGAGGAGGAGGAGGAGGAGGAGGAGAAGGAGGAGAGGAGGAGGAGGAGGAGAGGAGGAGAAAGAAGGGGATGGGAAGGAAGAGGAGGAGGACGAGGAAGAATGGGATGGGGATGGAGAAGAGGAGGAGGAGGAAGAAGAAGGGGATGGGGATGGGGATGATGAGGAGGAGGAGGAGGAGAAGGAGGAGGAGGAGGAGAAGGAGGGGGAGGCGGAGGAGGAGGAGAAGGAAGAAGGGGATGGGAGTGGGGAGGAGGAGGAGAAAAGGAGGAGGAGGAGGTGGAGAAGGAAGAGGAGGAGGATGAGGAGGAGGCGGAGGAGGACGAGGCCGCGCCAGCGCATTGCAGGGGGCCTCTGGGCTCCGTGGCCAGGACAGGCCGCCGCCGACGCTGCTCCAACGTATGGGAAAATCAGGCACAGCAAACAACAGCAGCAGAAAGAAAAGCAAAAGCAGCCAGAAAGATTCATCGACAAGTCGCCGTGTTCGGCCTCCGAGGGCCGAGGTTGGGCCCCGCTGCCGTCAGAAAGCTATGAATGGCTGGCACTGCGGACGGGGCCGGGGCACCTGGATGCCCAGCATTGACAGAATCAAAGTGTTGGAGTTCTTGGGAAGGGAGGCTCCTTCTCCTCGATCCTCTTCCTCCTCCTTCTCGATCCCCCTCCTCCTCGATCCTCTTCCTCCTCCTCCTCGATCGTCCTCCTCCTCGATTTTCCTCCACCTCCTCCTTGATCCTCTTCCTTCCCTTCCTCGATCTTCCATTTCTTTTCTTATAGATACCTCCCCCTGTCGCACCCCGAGGCAAGTCGAAAGGGCGTGCGGCCGTTTACGACGCTGGAATCTAAAAATTGGCAACAGTTTCATAGATTGATGGCGGGTGATTTTCAAAATGGGGTTCTCGCTTGAGCGCCGCGCGCATTCATGTTGAAAAAATTCAGGAGATTCACGGATTGAGTGCGGGTGGTTTTCAAAATGTGGTTCTCGCCTCAGCGCCGCGAACGTTCATTATTAAACTAGCTTGGCGAAGAACCCCATGGGACCACCAACCGCGTGAAGGGTGTGCCGAAATGAGTGGCGGGGACGCATGCAAACCCTGCCACTAGAGCCTTCGGTGGAGCCCCCTATGGCGCAACGAACCGTTTCCATTCTTCTAACTAACAGAGGGGTTCGTGCCACTTTCTTCTCCCCTCCCCTTTCCACCGCCTATCGAACACCTGCCCACACTGCAGACGTCAGCACTGCGACCCACGTACCCAACACAAGAGGTAATTCCATTCACCCGTTCTCGGGGCAGCTTAGTTGATTTCTACGCCTTTACAGGGACACCCTGGAAACGAAGATTTTGTCGGCTGCAATGTCAGCCAGTGACTGCAGGCTTTGTGCGACGGCCACGCCATAGCTAGATTGCGGGCTCTCTTGCTGGGCATGGAACGTGCCTGGAGGGAACGAGCTATTTGGCCGACGTGGACCAGGACTACCACGCCACAAAAACAAAGTAGAGGGTACGATCATGATACCAGGGCTACAGGGATATAAGGCTATAAGGCTATAGTGCTATAGGGTTTTTAAGCCTATTAGGCTATAGCGCCATAGGGTTACTAGAGCTATAGGGCTACAGGGCTATACGGATATAGGGCTATAGAGTTTCAGGGCACCCGGGCACCCAGGCACCCAGGCACCCGACCCGGCCACCGAAATCGGTGGCCAAGCTCACTTAATTATTCCAATCCGCTAGGACCCTTACAGAAGCAAGCTCTGATTGGAGAATCACTCGGCAATCACGAGCGGCATTGGCCACCATAAGATACGAATGGGAAGCGCAGTAGCAGTACACACGCAGACCCAGTGTTATCCTATAACGCTCATCCAACCTGGGCTCGACGATACCGCAGTTCAGCGAGCACGAATACGATTTGTTGTCTGCAGTACGGACCTGCATCTGTATGCCTTTGGCCGGCCAGAAAACAAGAGCGGCCTTTCTGATTATTACCCTCGGAAGCGGTTTCCGGGACGGACGACATGTTCGGCTAGGGAAAGTTCAGGAGGGGAAAAAACACACAGACACAATTAATCGGCGATTCCCAGAAAATATGAGAAAATATGGGAAGTGGGGGGGAAGACAAAAACCCAGAAAATATTTTGATTTGTGTGTATTTATTTGTGTGTCCCAGTTCCCCTTCAAAAGTGGGGGGGTACGAAACCAGCTGCATTGCAGCTGGTTTCGGCCCTTGTCGTCCCCCTCGAGATTTCAGTTGCGCCCAGCGTGAGGCCAACTTGAAAACCCAGGTGCCATGGCCCCCGCCGGCCTTGACCCTCTGCGCCCCCCCCTACCACCGGGAGGGAGAGGAGGAGTAGGAGGATGAGTTGCGGAGTTGCGGAAGATGCGACGGTGTCGGTTGCCAGGAGACCCCAAACAGCAATTCTAGACGAAATTACCCGCAGCGGCTTGCTTGGCTCGCTCGGCTTGGCTAGAAAGTGTGCGCCATAAGCCCTGCTGAATCCGTTTTAAGTGGGAACCAAATGAAAGGCCCTATTTTGTCGTCGCGGTTCGATTTCAGCTAAGGCCCAAACGCTTGGAAAATCAATGGTGTTCAGCGCCGTATGCGTTGAAAAGTAATAGGTCTTTGCGCGACCGCAGCCGTTCTGAAAGCATTTGAATTCGCAATCCGCCGAAGCAGTCGTAACAACAATTCATCCTCCTCCTCCTCCCTCCTCGCTCCTCATTTCTCCTCCTCCTCCTCCTCGTGGCCAGTTGGATGAGCAGTTACTTAGGCTCCGTCTTGAGGACTACGCTTGGGATCGCGCTCCTCGGATAATTTAGTACGCGATTCAGCTGCAGGGGGGGATGATGGAGAAGAGGAATGAGGAGTTGGCGGAGGAGGACCACTCTAGGAGGACCGCTCTGCCCGCTGCCCGGGAGGAGAGCGGCGTGTTTCCAATTGGCGCCGCGGTGGAGTACCAGAGTACTTCCACGGGCTGTTGGATCCCAGCCAAGGTCGCGGCGAAGAAAGGGGGGGGGAGGGCACCAGGGAGGGGAACCGCCGACCCCAAGCGGCCAACTCATCGCCGACAGGCGCACCACAGAGAGCCCTCCGGTGATGCGTCCGTGGACCCCAGGCCGATGTGGAGCCCCCACCTTCGCGTCATCCCCTCCCTGCTGACCCCATCACCAGGTGCTGGGCTTTCACGCTCCCTCTGGGCTGTACGACCTGGACTGCAGACCCCAGGCGGCGCCTTCCAGGATCCGGTGGCCCGCCAGCGACGCTTGCTCGGCTCCGCACGGGTCGCCTCGCGCGGTGCTGTTCTACGGACAGGACGATGTTCCGGCGTAGGCGGGGCCGACCCTGCAGAGCCAGAATTTTAGATCGCGGGCGGGCTCGACCAGAATTGCGAGAGCCAGAATTAAAATGCCTCCCCGTTGCAAATGCTCGTCTCCTTCCCCCGGAGCGCTCCGTGATTACCCCTGAGTCATTACTGGAGATTATCATGTCCTGAGGCCAGCAGGAGCTAAATCATCCTTCATTACTGCGAGATTGCTGAGATGCAGCTCTGTCGCTTGGAAGCTGAAGCCGCATAGCCTTGCGGCCCCCCTTCACAACGGCTTACCAGCGCGAACTTAACGGATCATTGGCACATGGTAGCCAGCGTGGAACCAAACAGTGAATCCCAGCGATCTGGAGGTGGCAGCTATACGTTGTAAGGTATGTTGCGCAAGCCAGCGGCATACCCACCGGCGGCAGCGGGCTCCTCGGTACACCCGCACGGGCGGCAACGGGCGGCAGTTTGGCGCATCCTCGGCCCACCCCCACGGGCGGCAACGGGCGGCAGTTTAGCGCATCCTCGGCCCACCCCCACGGGCGGCACTGGGCGGCAACGCGGCGAGTCCTTGCCATACCTCCGGCAACGGGCGGCAACGTGGCAGGCGGCAGCGGGCGACAGTGCGGCGAGTCCTCGGCACACCACCACAGGCGGCAACGGGCGGCAACGCGGCGAATCCTCGGCACACCCCCACAGGCGGGAGCGGGCGTCAACGCGGCGAACCCATGGCGTACCTCGAGCCACGGGCAGCAACGTGGCGAAGCGCAGGCGACAGCGGGCGGCAACGTGGCGAATCCTCGGCATACCCCCACAGGCGGCAACAGGCGGCAGCGTGGCGAATCCTCGGCATACCTATCAAATTCTTTAGTAACACCCGTAAGGTTCTCTAAGTGCAAGCATCGTTTGCCGACGTAGGCACGACAAATAAGGAACCAGCATACCAGCAGGTGCCCGAAAGGAAGTTTGTATTATCCAGTGGCATTGGGCCCTGGGTATGACACGCAGAAGACATGGGACACCTTCGTGAGCCGAAACATCGACAGCCACTGCGTCCCTATATGGCAATATGTTACTTTTGTATGTTAGCCAGCGGGGACCCGAAACAGTAAGTCATTGTATGTGGATATGTGAGCTATGTGGTGCGAGCGAGATGGTGAAATTTATTTCTTGTGGCATACGTACGAGGTAAAACTAAAGGCCGCAACGAAGCGGCAACGGGCGGCAACGTGGCGAAACCTCCCCTGACACACCCAGCGAACGAGGTGGCAACGAAGCGTCAGCGGGCGGCAACTTGGCGAAACCCCGTCGGACCCACCCAGCGCACGAGGCGACCACGAGGTGGCACCGGGCGGCAACGTGGCGAAACCTCGCCAGACCCATACAGCGCACCCGGCGGCAACGATGCGGCAACGGGCGGCAACGTGGCGAAAACTCGCTGGGCCTACCCAGCGCACGAGGCGGCAACGGGCGGCAACGTGGCGAAATCTCGCCCGACCCACCCAGCGCACGAGGCGGCAACGAGTGAGCAACGAGGCGGCAACGGGCGGCAACGGGCGAAGCTTCGACCCCACCCAGCGCACGAGGCGGCAACGAGGCGACAATGGGCGGCGACGTGGCGAAACCTCGCCAGATCCACCCAGCGCACGGGGGCCACAACGATGTGGCAACGGGCGGCAACGTGGCGAAACCTCGCCACACCCAGCCAGCGCACCAGGCGGCAACGAGGTGGCAACAGGCGGCAAAACGGCGAAGCCTCGCTGGGCCCACCCAGCGCACGAAGCGGCAAAGTGGCGAAATCTCGCCAGACCAACCCAGCGCTCGAGGGGGCAACGAAGCGGCAACGAGGCGGCAACGGGCGGCAATAGACGTCAACGGGCGGCAACGTGGGGAAACCTCGCCCGACCAACCCAGCGCACGAGGCGGCAACGAAGTGTCACCAGGCGGCAACGTGGCGAAGCCTCGCCGGACCCACCCATTCCTTAGAAACGCAAGTAGGAGCCCCTAAGTGAAAGCCCTGCTTTGGAAATTGATTGTTTCAGCGCGCGGTGCCAGCTCATTGAGAGGGATAGCAGGAGGAGATGGAGGAGGGTAAGAAGAAGCAGGCTGCACAGCAGCAAAAGGAAAAGCAGGAGCAGGGAGAAGTAAAACATTAGGGGGATGAGCAAGCAGGAGGAATACTTCGCCGCTACGAAAGTTCGGCCAAACTTCAACTCTTCCCGTTCGGCGGCGGAGCCCCTGCGCAATGCTGCCGACGGAGGACATATCGAACGGGGCCCGTTGGGCGACGGGGCCCCAGTACAATGTTGCCAGGGTGCGTACCGTTGCTTCGCGTGACGAATGCACTTTCACCCAGCTTAGACTTCGTACCAGGGTGTGCTGATCTCGGTCGAACGCGTTCCTTCGAAGAAGTCTTGGGCGGAATCACCATTTCGACTTCAGGCCGACGGCTTTCGACATCATATCGAAATTGCTTAGTCTGTTTCCGAGGGAGTCCCAAGCGAAAACCACTTTTCGAATGTTTGGGTTGCCGACTACATAATTTGAAACGCCAAACGGGCTGCTCGAGTCGAAGCGACGATTCCGCTTGAGACTTCCTCAAAAAACATCTCTACCAAAGTCGAGATTCGGCTCGAAGTTGAAATAGCGACCACTAAAGCAGAAGTCGAAACCCATTGGGTTCAGAGTCGAAATGGCGATTCCGCCCGTCGCTTCCTCCAAATCTCAATTCAAACATTTTCGGGTTCGAAATCGGCATGGGGGGGTCGCCTTGCTGCTTGCAGGCTATGCAACTCAATGGCGTGATGGCTTCTGCCCACCATTGGAGCCTTCGTCGGGCACTGTCTTGGTGGAGCCACGAAGTGAGAAAAAACTTTCGCCGCATGTAGAAGGAGGAGCGAGGAAGCAAGAGGAGGTCAGAGCGATGAGGAGGAAGGGTAGAACAAGGGGGAGTAAGAGTGAGATGAACATGGGATGAGGAAGAGGAGGGGTAGAAGGGAGACTCCAGGTGGCAGGTGTGGAGGCGGGACGGCAGTCCCAGTACTCTTCGGCCGCCATCTCTCCTCCCTCTCTCCTCTTTTCTTCCGCCCGTCTGGCGTCCAAATCTTGCTGCATGCCGCATGACTTCACTCTGACCATGCCATGCTCGGCAGGGCTACGACCCTTGAAAGAAACGCCGTGCGCGGGATGTCCAAACAAAGATGAGCCGCTTCTCCCCATTTGTGTCCCTGATACCTTCCAACGAACGAAGTAGGGCCTCACCGCAGAAGTGGCCAGGGCCTGGGGGGGGTCATACGTCGGGGGGGGGTCATATCCAAGGGGATGGCACGACTTCTCTCGTGAGCGATGGACGTGTTGCTAGGCAGAGGCCACCCCAGTCACGCAGAGATGGAACCCGCCACGGGCTTCTGGAAGATCCCGCACAGAAGCCCAGGCTTGCCCCCAGCGGGGAGTCCGGATGCGCACGAGCCGGAGCAAGCCGCGCGTCTCCACGACCGAAGGCAGCAAGCAGGTCGTGGTCGGCACGCGTTGTTTGTTGAGCTGCGGCGCCCCGGGTCCAAGCCGTGCTCGAGACACGACGGGGCTGAGGAGGAGGAGGAGGAGGAGGAGGAGGAGGAGGAGGAGGAGGAGGAGGGAAGAGGAGGAGGAGGAGGAGGAGGAGGAGGAGGAGGAGGAGGGAAGGAGAGGAGGAGGAGGAGGAGGGGAGGAGGAGGAGGAGGAGGAGAGGAGGAGGAGGAGGAGGGGAGGAGGAGGAGGAGGAGGAGGGAGGAGGAGGAGGAGAGGAGGAGGGGGAGGAGGAGGAGGAGGAGGAGGAAGAGCGGTGGAGCGGGAGCGCTGCGCAGGGCGAAGGAGCGGCGGGAGGAAGAGGGGCCGGGGGGGTGCAGGGCCGCGGACGGCCGGGGCGCCTGCTCGTGGCTGGCAACGACGTGGTCCCCCTCCAGTTCCCCACCTGGTGGGCCTGGTTTCCACCACCACCACCAGAAGTTGGAGGGGGAGGCGGTCCTCCTCCTCCTCCTCCTCCTCCCCTCCTCCCCTCCTCCTCCTCCTCCTCCTCCTCCTCCTCCTCCTCCTCCTCCTCCCCTCCCCCTCTCCTCCTCCTCCTCCTCCTCCTCCTCCTCCTCCTCCTCCTCCTCCAACTTCTGGTGGTGGTGGTGGTGGAAAACAGGCCCATCACCAATGTCGGCGGCGAGCGAGGGGGGAAGCGAGAAGAAGAAGAAGAAGAAGAAGACCCTCCCAGAAGGCGTCAGGGCTCCTCGGAAGCCCTCGCGCCCTGTGAGCAGTGGTCTGTGACTTCGGGGAAGGCTCAAGAAGACTTCTCAGAAAGGTGCCATTCTCACATCCCCCACGCTCGCGGCCGAGAATTGCAATCTCGCACCGTTGCCGGACGCCTCTCTGTGTTTCTCTGCCTTTCGCTTCCTCATTGCCCACCACTGTCTCTTTCCTGGCTGCCGCTGTTGCGCGTCGCCTCATTTTTATTCGTTCATGTTGTCGCTCCGACCACCAGGTTCGGGTAAGCCTGACCAGCGCAAGCAGGAGAGGAGAAGTGGATGAGCTCGAGGATGGTGGGGAGCAGGAGGAGGAGGAGGAGGAGGAGGAGGGGCAGGGGGGAGGAGGACTATGTGGAGGAGGGGGTTGGCGACTGCACCAGGGAAAGCGCGGCCAGAGCAGAGCAACACACCACGACCACGACGATGCCGACGACGACGGCGCGCCAACCGTTCGCACCGAAGCACGGACCTGGGAAAGGACCCACGCTGCGAGGCTGGAAAGGAGAGGGGAGGAGGAGGCGGGGGGGAGGAGGGGAGGAGGAGGAGGAGGAGGAGGAGGAGGAGGAGGAGAGGAGGAGGAGGAGGAGGAGGAGGAGGAGGAGAGGAGGAGGAGGAGGAGGGGGAGGATGAGGAGGAGGAGGAGGAGGCGGAGGGGGGAGGGAGGAGGAGGAGGAGGTTGGAAAGGAGGAGGGGGGGGAGGAGGAGGGGCGGGACGAGGGGAGGAGGAGGATGGGGGAGAAGGAGGGAGG